TCTTTTTTCTGGGATGAATGTTGTTGTACGTCTAGTGTATCCGTGATATTACTACTATTAGTAGATTATTATAGTACCAATATATTCAATGGTTAATATAGAAATAATCAATTATAGTGATTTGGAAATATATTAAATCGCATTATTTTGTGATGATTTGTAATACTCTTTGGGGTAGCGCAAGTTGCAACACGAAAGAATGCGAGATAAGCTTGTTGACTCATATGACTCACTGCAGAAATGCCTTAGATTGGATATAACTTACTGGTGCTATATAAGACCGAGCAGCTGCAGTCATGGAGTCATGTGTATGGTCGTTTGACCGCAGTGGCTCTACTAATACTACGTTTGTATTAATTCAACGCATCAATGGTCATGGACGTAAGTGTTTATTCTATTGACAAACTTACTTTTCTTTCTGTTGTGTGTGTGTGTGTGTGTGTGAGAGTGTGTGTGTGTGTGTGTGTGTGAGTGAGTGTGTGTGTGTGTGTGTGTGTGTGTGCGTGTGTGTGTGTGCGTGTGCGTGTGCGTGTGCGTGTGCGCGTGCACGTTCGTGTTCGTGAGCGTGTGCGTGTGCGTGTGCGTGTGCGTGTGCGCGTGCGCGTTCGTGTTCGTAAGCGTGTGCGTGTGCGTGTGCGTGAGCGTGTGCGTGTGCGTGTGCGTGTGCGTGTGCATGTGCGCGTGCGCGTGCTTTTGCGTGTGCGTGTGCATGTGCGTGTGCGTGTGCGTGTGCGTATGCGTGTGCGTGTGCGTGTGCGTGTTAGTATGCGTGTGCGAGTGCGTGTGCGTGTGCGTGTGCGTGTGCGTGTGCGTGTGCGTGTGCATGTGCGTGTGCGTGCGCGTGTGTTGTGTATGTGCGTGTGCCTGTGCGTGTGCGTGTGCGTGTGCGTGTGCGTGTGCGTGTGCGTGTGCGTGTGTTTAAGTGTAAACTAATTCATATTAACATGATAACTGTGTTGTTGCAGAAATAATTCAACTTTAATGAAAATATCTATAAATAGTATTACTATTCGGCACTAGTAGCACTAGTGTAAGTCGAAAAAATTAAGGGAACAATCTTGTTCCAATTCAAGTTTAAATTTAATTTTATCATGGACTCTATTTATTTTATTGAGGAAAACTTCCAGTTGTCTCCTTGTGCCAGTCCAGCAAATAATTATGTCGTCTACATATTGATAGTAATATGAGATATTTTGATTGACAACTATATGTTGTTTTTCGTAATTATCCATGAAAATATCCGCCATAAGGGGACTTAGAGGGGACCCCATAGCTAACCCTTCTTTTTGTAGATAGAAACGGTTATTAAACCGGAAATAGTTTTTTTTCATACAGAGGGAGGTTAAGTTAAGAAGATCATTTATTTCCCCGGGATGTAGACGACGTTTATCAAAGAGATCTGCGAGTATACGCAAACAGTCAGGGGATGGGACATTTGTGAAAAGACTATCAACGTCTAAAGATAACAATATGGATTTAGGAGGAATACGAATATCTTTAATTTTGGAAATGAGATCTAAGCCATTTTTAGGCTGTAATTGGGGTTGAATCCGTATGTATAGGTTTTGTACTCTGATTCTGTACTCGGAGAGCCATCGTAGCCCTACTGTACAAACACTTCAGCACTTCGATATATCGACAGTCAACTTGACACCACTGAAAGGACTGTAGCACCGCCCAAATTTGACTGAATCAGAGGCTTTCTTTTATTCCATATACGCAAGACATAGTGGCAAATTGTACACCTCGGTCTTGTGTAAAATTTTCCGAAGGGTACGTATGTGGTCTATATTGTAAAGCCTTTTCGGAAACTGGTTCGGGGGATTGGAAGTCGTCAAGGCTGCGTTGGAGACAATTCATAATGACTCTAGAAAATAGCACGTAGACCCGTCTCAGAAGGGAAATCGGTCTGTAGTTCTTCAAGAGAGCGTTATCACCTTTCTTGAAGAACAAGACCATCGCACTTCTGTTCCACGTCTCCGGAGTTGTCCCACCATGGAGAACGGAATTAAAGACCTTCTGAAGGACTTCAAGTACCGGTTTTCTACCTGCTTTCAGAAGTTCCGCTGTAATTCCATCCTCGCTTGGGGCTTTGCCGTTTTTAAGGTGCTGGCTTTTAATGGAATAGTTCAAAAAATATGTTATGTACTCAATTGTGCACGCCAGGTCTGAAAGGGTTAAATTACTAGTTCTCACATAATTTTTCACCTATTTCTTTTATAAGACAATATGTAGCATCTAACACTTCATCATACATTGAATCCACAACATATTGAACATTTATATTAGCACTAAGATTGTGGATGACATTTTCTTCTTGCTCGTTAAGTTCGCAAATGCTGATTTTAATCAGACGATGACCTCGTTTATTTTTATCTCGACGGATAATGTATGATGATGATGATGATGATGATGATGTTTCTTGAGAACGGTTTCTATTCCTGTAACATTTCTTTGATTTCGATTGCCGCTCTTCATTAATATCTATTCTATTTGGTGGTAAATCGTGAAGCTGCTCCTTTCGGTCGTAATAATCTAGTGTAAATTTATCCACAGCCTGTGCATAGTAATACGGATTAGTGATAGGATTAGAATAATTGTGTTCCTCGGTGTTGGCCATGATTTGCAATTAACAAAAACAAGTATGAAGTCAAAAAAAGGTAATGGCGGCTGAATTTCTGAATAGTAAAAAAAATGATTAAACTCACCAATATAGATGATATTTAACGAGCGTTGTAATCAACGTGCACTCGCTATGAGAATAAAACAATAATGAAACAATTGAGGGAGGGTGGGAGACGCTCTTCAATCCAGGTAAGACACATCATTTTATTTAGTTAGCGGTTGGATGCAAATTAATTAATATCTATATTATAATGGATTTACGATGTTAGGTTTTGGGTCTTAGGTTTTTTTTTCGTTACGGACTTTCTTGATTCGGTCGCCGCGCTCAAAGCCCTCGATAAAAGCTATGCAGTAGCTTAAAAACGTTTATTAGCACTAACCACAATGAAATTAGGCTAAACAAGTTGTTCTGTTAGAAATTAATCATATAGATGCGGCAATACTATCAGTATCTCGCAAACGCTCTGAATATAATGCTCAATAACTCAACTGGAAGTGGAAGTACACTTGTTCCCGCAGGATAGAACTGTGAGTATGTAGACGTTAATTTGGTTAAACTAAAAATGTTGTACCTCTCTGGAGAGAATTGGGGTCTTCAGCGGCATGTAGCTCGAGGGAATGCGAGAACAAGTGACGCAGAAGCCCCAATTCACACCTACTCCGATGATATAGTCCTTATGGCAGAGTCGCTGGAGGACCTAAGCACCATGCTCAATGACCTCAATAGTGTCTCTGACGGATTCAACTCGGTTAGGTAGTGTTTGGGAAATTACGGCACATCTTCTCGTTAGGTATACCTCAAAACTTGAAAACGAGACTGTACAACTAGTGCGTGTTGCCAGTGATGACCTATGGAACTGAGACGTGGTCCTTCAGTGCTGGCCGGATGAGGAAGCTCAAGGTCGCTCAGCGAGCTATGGAGAGGGCTATGCTCGGAGTTTCTCTGCGTGATAAACTTAGAAATGAGGATATCCGCAGTAGAACCAGAGTGACCGACATAGCCCAACGGATTAGTAAGCTGAAGTGGCAATGGGCCAACCATATAGCTCGGAGAACCGACAACCGATGGGGAAAAAATGTTCTCGAGTCGCGGCCTCGTACCGGCGGACGAAGTGAGGGCGTCCCCTCACCAGATGGAGTGACGACCTGGTAAGATATGCAGGAAGTCGATGGATACAGGTGGCTCTGGACCGTGCTTTGTGGCATTCCTTGGGGGAGGCCTATGTTCAGCAGTGGACTTGTGAGGGCTGTTATGATGATGATGATGAAGTTATTGTTTTTTGTGTTTAGCTCTGTAGCTCTATTTTTTAGGAATAAATGATTTTTATTTTTTTATAACCATAAGAATAAAGTAGTATTGTACTTTATTCTTAAAATAGATACAATTATTTAACAAACACAGGAAAAAATAATAAAATAAAAGCAAAATAATAAGTGCATCTCTAGGTGTACTGGCATTATCTTAGCGAACAGACCATACAAATTTACTCGTATTTTAAAAAGTGGTAGAGCCACGCGGTAGCTTTTGCTGTCGCACGGATGGGCCGGCTTGAACCGGGGTAGTACCACGACCTCACAGAAAACCAGCGTGAAGTAGAGGTTTACCTCTGCGTTTCGCTTGGAGAGTGCAGGTGGCCGGAGGCCCTTTTTACTAGAAATACAATGACATTTTTATAGGTACGTTTTATGACTACAAATCCACCGAAAAAAAAGGTTCCGAACTCGGCCGTCCCAGCGGCACCACATATACACATTTTAATGTTTTACTTACATTTCATTACATTCTCTCTCGCTCTTCGTGTTCTTAACGCACCAGTTCTGGTATTTCTATTGCTGTCGTTTTCTTTAAGCTTACGTAATAATGGTGTTATATTTGTTAGGCAATGGCCGGAGTGACTAATTAATCACTTTCCGAACACCTTTTTTGGTGTACTCAAGACATAGGGAAATGGATTGACCGTTTTCCTCACAAAAGTGACCATTGTTTAAAAAGAAACAAAGTGACTGTGCGGCGGATACCTATCTCTTTCCTACAAGTCTGATTCGTTCACGTCCTGCAAGCCAGTGACGTGGACCAATCAGAATTCTAGAAAGAGACTACTGGCCGCACATTCGCTTTGTCTCTATTGCACTATTAGGTCTGTATTCATTGCACAACTGAATACGGAACGCACAGTCCATTCTCTCTATCTATGGGCGTGCTGGTAACGTATCTACCTTTTTTATATATAAATATTATTGACGCCATAGCGTTAATTACTTATGACACTGAATATATTAATAAGTTCTGTTTAAATAATACCTTTCGTAAATTAAATAGGCAAATGAAATATACTAGCGTTAGGGTAATTTTTTTAACAAAACACACAACTATTACAATTTACAATGCAATTTATTTAACTCTATGCTATTTGTGAAGTACAATTTTTGATAGGTACATTACCTAAAAGGAATTGCAGACTTAAATTGAATATCTATAATTTCTAGCAGTAAAAATATACTTTTAGTCTTTATTAAGTAACAATAAGGACTTTTAAGTACAAATTTAAATTGTTCAAAAGTTAATCTATTATAAACCTATTATTTCATATCGACAATTCAATATTATGAGATTTTCTTTAAAAAAGAATAGGTACTAAGATTACTTTTCTATGAGGTAAAGTAAATACGTCACAAAATATTCAAATTATACCACTATTTTGGTGAACAAATTTAATCTTAACCCATTTTCATTCACTTGTGTAATGGTAGAAGCAGAAACTATGTACCTATCTATATTACATTTACACAGACGTTAAAGATGGTTTCATAAGACACACTTTGATGATTTTTAGCAAAAGTACAATAAACATGCTACAGCTACGATTTATGCCTAATTTATTTTAATCTATTTAATTACCAGTTCACAAATTTTATTATAATAATTTTAACTTTATCAGCCTAGGGTAGTTTAGAAATAGTACATGTTATAACAACAATACATTTATTAAAGTTATGTCAAATAAATATATGAAAACATCATTAAAATTATTTGCACTTAAATTTGAAATAAAATATTTTGCACTCCTGCTTCTTCGAGCCTCTTTTTCCTAATGCTATATTATAATATATTAAATTTATATAATATATGAAGTATAGATGTAAATGCTCGTCATATATAAAAATAAAGTACATACGCATTTCAATTTTATAATTACGTACTATTTGTAACTATCTGAGATAAGTTTTGAAAGCATTTACCCATTATGTACATGCTTAATCTACTTTTCACTGAAAGGCTTTTCCCATTAACTGTCACACTGTCTACAGTGTGACAGTTAATGTACATTAAGAAGTACGAAGATGGTTCTTACGGAGAGAAAAATTTAAAAAATTGCCTGAAAAAGTTTAAAAACGACACTTTTCTATATTCTATATAAAAGTTAATTTGAACTTTATTACCATACCATAAAGTTTAAATATTGGTGGAGGGGTTCAGGGAAAGCAAAACAATTGAGTGACGTTAGTATCGTATAAATATTAAAGTCAATATTTGTCAATATTTATACACACTGGCAGATATCTGATATTATAAGGAATAACTTGGTCTGCTTTTATTTTAGGGTTCCGCGAAAAATAACTCAACGCGGACGAAGTCGCGGGGAACAGCTAATATACTATATTAATGTAGTTATTATAATACCAGTGCGTGTTGCCAGTGATGAGCTATGGAACTGTTGACGTGGTCCTTCACTGCTGGCCGGATGAGGAAGCTCAAGGTCGCTCAGCGAGCTATGGAGAGAGCTATGCTCGGAGTTTCTCTGCGTGATAAACTTAGAAATGAGGACATCCGCAGTAGAACCAGAGTGACCGACACAGCCCAACGGATTAGTAAGCTGAAGTGGCAATGGGTCAGCCATATAGCTCTAAGAACTGACAACCGATGGGGAAAAAAGGTTCTCGAGTGGCGATCTCGCACCAGCGGATAAAGTGTAGGGCGTTCCCTCACTAGATGGAGTGACGACCTGGTAAGATATGCAGGAAGTCGATGGATGCAGGTGGCTCAGGGCCGTGCTTTGTGGCATTCCTTGGGGGAGGCCTATGTTAAGCAGTGGACTTGTGAAGGGCTTTAATGATGATGATGATGATGATGTGGGTATTTTAAATAATTTCGTCTCAACTATCATGATTATTGGTTAAATGCTTATGTATCACATTGTTATGGGTGTGTAAACTTGGTAAAGACAACGTTTTAAATCTTCTATCACGACCTAGGACCTCCTACCATAAATTACCTAGTATTGGAAATTATTTAATTTAAGCATTAAGATTGGACTTGTTCAACGGCGTTCACGTATTTGAAGTGTTGCGCGTAGGCATTGCTGGCTAGCTCCCGGAGACTCTGCTCCGAGGCGGGGCTCAATTGCTTCACCATGCGGGTGAAGTAGCCGTCACTTTTCTGTAGCAACTCGTGTGGATGACCTGATTCCACAATCTGACCGGCTTCCATGACCTGAGAAGTCAGTACACTCAATTTTTTTACTCGTATAAAAATTATATGAAATTTTAATAAAATTTAACAAGGACATAAGTTTTACAATTACAAGTTTACAAGTATATATTATATTTGTTTGACCTAATCTAAACACTAAAAATACAGTCACATTATCATCACATTACTGTGACGCTTTTGAAATTATTTGGCTAAGGGCGTCAACGAAAATATGATTATTTCTGACCGAGATCAAAATGACGTGACAGCGATTGTTTGTTCAGTCAATTACTTTTAGTGTTCGTGCGTCGATGCGGTGCGACGTCACGGCGCCGGTGTTAATGGACAAGTTTAAATGTGTTTTGTATTGCCGGTACATTGGCCCGTCACAATCTTGTCGATCTACTATAAACTTCGGCAGCCGGGATGACAGCGTTCGGGTGATGCGCTCGCGGTGGACAGGAGACTATATATAGCAAATGTATGTGTCCCTACCTCGGCGCCGTCATCTCGTTCTCGTTGAAGTCCCAGTGACGGCGGCGGTGGACAATTGCTCTAATTGTTTTAAAAAATCTACTGAAAGTCGACCTAGATCAGACATGTTATGTGGAATGTTCACGTTGTGCGCTTGACACTCGTACAAAACTTACGATGACTCGATCGGAGTCGGCGACAGTGTGCAGTCGATGAGCTACAGTTATCACTGTGCACTCGGAGAAGTGTTTGCGTAATGATTTCTGGATTAAGGCATCAGTACTGAAATGAAATTTAAAAATATTAACAACAATACTTACATAATTTATAAAAATCTTAAAATCTCTTAAAACGAATTAACTGTTCAGTAACGAAACGGCGTTTATTTTATAAAATGTAACTAACAAACGAACTTGCAGTCCACCTGATGGTAAGTGGCTACTGCAACTTCAAATATACGGCTACGGATGCGTTATCACCTCTGTAGGCCAAGATGGAAACACTTCAAAACGAAATAGTATAAAATCCGTCGCTTATTGTACGAATAGATTAGTTACTTTTTTAGCAGGTGGCGACAGAGAGAGAGAGAGAGAGAACTTTTGCTAGGCTGTAACGGTAGAGGTGGCGGTATAGTATGCGTGCACTGACTTGAAGTCGACATTGGCGGTAGCCTCGTCTGGCACGACCACGTGGGAGGCGACAGGGAGAGAGAGAGAGAGAGAGAGAGAGAGAGAATTTTGCTAGGATGTAACTGTGAAGGTGGCGGTATACAATGAGTGCTCTCGCTTGGGGTCGACGTTGGCGGTGGCCCCGTCGAGCACGAGTAGGCGGGAGGCAACAAAAAGAAGGAGAGAGAACTTTTGCTAGTATGTAACGTTAGAGTTGGCGGTATACAATGCCTGCACTGACTTTGGGTCAACGATGGCGGAGGCCTCGTCGAGCATGAGTAGGCGGAAAGCAACAGAGAGAAAGAGAACTTTTGCTAGGCTGTAACGGTAGAGGTGACTGTATACAATACGTGCACTGACTTAGGATCGCCGTTGGCGGTGGCCTGGTCGAGCACGAGCAGGCGGGAGGCGACGGAGAGAGAGAGAGAGAAAACTTTTGCTCGGCTGTAACGGTAGAGGTGACGATATATAATGTGTGCACGGACTTGGGGTCAACGTTGGCGGTGACCTCGTCAAGCACGAGCAACAGGGAGAGAGATTTTTTGCTCGACTGTAACGGTGGAGGTGGTGGTACACAATGCGTACTCTCACTTGGGGTCGACGATGCCACTGGCTTCGTCGATCACGAGTAGGCGGAAGGCAACAGAAAGAGAGAGAGAACATTTGCTAGGTTATAACGGTGGAGGTGGCGGTATACAATGCGTGCACTGCCTTCGAGTCGACGGTGGCGGTGGCCTCGTCGAGCACAAGCAGGTGGAATGCGACACAGAGAGAACTTTTGCGAGGCTGTAGTGGTAGAGGTGGTGGTACACAATGCATGCACTGACTTGGGGTCGACGTTAGCGGTGGCCTCAACGAGTACGAGCAGACGGAAGGCGACAGAGAGAGAGAGAGAGAGAGAACTTTTTCTAGATTGTAGCAGTAGAGGTGATGGTATACAATGCGTGCACTGACTTGGGTTTGACGTTGGCGGTGTCCTCGTAAAGTACGAGCAGGTGAAATGCGACAAAGGGAGAAAGAACTTTTGTTAGACTGTAACGGTAGAGGTGGCGGTATACAATGCGTGCACTGACTTGGGGTCGACGTTGGCGGTGGCCTCGTCGAGCACGAGCAGGCGGTTGCGCGCGAGTGCGGCGCGCGCCAGGCACAGCAGCTGGCGCTGGCCCGCGCTGAAGTTGGCGCCGCCCGCCGCCACCGCCACCGACAGTGACGTCACGCTCTGTTTCAACTCCACCTGCACATTAAAATAGAATATTATAGAATAGAATATTTTTTATTCAATATACATTACATGTGTAATACTTACTGAAAGTAATTTTTTACTTTACCACTGGTTCGAAAAAAACCCTCTGTCCTGGGAAGAACCCGCAAGAAACCCAGCGGGACTTTTTTTAAATAAATTTTACAATATAAATGATTACGAACTATTTACAAAATTTATTTTAGAAACTGCTTGGAAGCGACCACCTCATTTCCAGGGGTTATTATCACCCATGTATTCATTTACACTATAATAACCCTTTTTATAGAGTTTCAGCTTAATAAAACATTTAAACTTGGTAATAGAGAGAACCTGTACACTTTCCGGGAACTTGTTGTAATAGCGTATACATTGCCCCAAGAATGAATTACTGACTCTGTGGAGTCGAGAAACTGGCATCACTAGCTTGTGTTTGTTCCTAGTGTTTACAGAATGTATATCACTTTTTTTACTAAAACTATCTTTGTTTTTGTGAACATACATTAAATTTTCGTAAATATACTGAGAGGCCAAAGTTAATATATTAATTTCTTTAAATTTATCTCTAAGAGACTCTCTCGGTTTTAGATTGTAAATAGCTAAATCCTTATCTTATACGATGGAAAGGCAGGTTAGTGTTGAAACGCGCCTGACACAGGTAGAAGGCCAGCTGAAATTGAGCGATGATGTAACCAGCCAGGTTAACCTATAACAAGACAAAATTGATGCAATGGAGCAACAGGCACGGCTTTATAACGTTGAGATTGCTAACTTACCAGAACGACGTGATGAAAACCTTCTATCAGTTATTGAGAAGATTGGTTCTGTCATCAAACACCCTGTCAGCAAATCGGACATTGCATCAGCCCATAGAATGCTACACTTTGATAAAAGTGTTCGCGTCCAAAAAATGTGATTATAAAATTTACAACGAAAATAATCCGCGACAACTTCATCATAGCAGCACGGGCAAATAAAGGTTTAAAATCCGACCAGCTGGCGGTACCTGTTACTATACATAACGTGTACATCAACAAACATCTTACAGCTAAAAACAAGCAATTGTTTCGATTGTGCCGTCAACAAGCCATTAAGAACAATTATAAATTCACTTGAATTAACCAAGGAGGTATCGGATTTATCATCCACAAGTCTCTCGTTAAAAACGTTGTAAAGATTGAGAGTGTGTCGACGAGGGTTGCGTACCTTATACTCAGAATCACCAAACGGCATTCGCTGAAGGTCATACAGGTTAACGCACTAACCTCGGCACACCCCGATGAGGAGGTGGAGGAAATTTATGAGGATATCTCTAGAGCCATGCATTCCTTCAAAACCCTACTATACGGTGTTAATGGGAGACTTCAACGCAAAACTAGGCACAAGAGAGAACGGTGAGCTGAAAGTAGGGAAATTCGGAATAGAGCAACGGAACCCAAGGGGCCAGCTGGCCGACTTCATGGAGAAAGAGGGACTTTTTATGATGAACTCTTTCTTCCAGAAGCGGCCCCACGACGACCAGACGACAACTGTTCAGTGATGTCTCCGTGATCACGAGGGTGAAAACCGGCAGCGATCACCGAATGGTTAGAGGCACACTGAACCTAAACGTTAAGTTGGAGAGGTCGCGTCTAATGAAGTCAACGCTCCGTCCCCCTTGTGCTCTGTTCCAAAGTCCCGAAACCTTTCAGCTCGAGTTACAAAACCATTTTCAATGCCTAGAAGACTGCAATGAAGTGGACCATATGAATGACAAGCTCGTGGCAACTGTCCATGCGGTCGGAGCTAAGTTCTGCAAGACCCGTAGCAGAAGAACACAAAAACTCTCCGATCACACTCTTAATCTCATGGCTGTTAGACGGGAAATGAAGCTACATTCTTCAACAGATTTGACAGCATACAGGCAACTGAACAGACAGATCTCCAAATGCATGCAGTGGGACTTACGCAACTTCAATACAGCTTGTATTGAAGAAGCGATCGAGCGGCACCAAGGCTCCAAAGTCTTTGCCAGAGATCTGTCTGCCAGAAAGAGCCAACTGTCAAAGCTGAAGACAGAGTGTAGCAGCATCGTTTCCGGGGCACCTGAGATTTTGAGTGAGATTGAGAGGTTCTATGGGCAGCTGTACACGTCATCGTTGGAGCCACACGAGAGTGTGAGTAACGATCCAAGAGCGAGTCTTATCCGACACTATTCCGAAGATATCCCGGACGTGAGTCTGAGCGAGATTAGAATGGCTCTCCAGCACCTTAAAAACGGCAAGGCCCTAGGCGAGGATGGAATAACAGCGGAGCTAAGAATTAAGTGGCAGTGGGCCGGCCATATAGCTCGAAGAACCGACAACCGATGGGGAAGAAAGGTTCTTGAGTGGCAGCATCGTATCGGTAGGCGAAGTGTAGGGCGACCCCCCACGAGATGGAGTGACGACCTGGTAAGACATGCGGGAAGTCGATGGATGCAGGTGGCTCAGGACCGTGCTTTGTGGCATTCCTTGGGGGAGGCCTATGTTCAGCAGTGGACTTATGAAAGGCTGTAATGATGATGATGATGATGATTGGATTAAGCACGGTACTGTTTTGGTGCGTCAAACTGAGACATCTCCTATTTTTGCTGTGCGAAGCGAGCAAGACCTCAAGAAAATTAAATCCTAAGTTATCTTTTCTATTGATATTGTTTTGTCTTAGCTATACTTATATAAATAATGAATGTTCTACCATGGGACTATCGGGCGAATATACTATCTGTGCATGTTACTAAAATCAAACTCGTTAACTACAAATGTGTGTCAAGTAGGAGAAATAAAATATATTTTTTACTGGTTACTATTTAAACTTATTTATATAATTACTAAAGTAAGGTGATTCTGGTATGCAAAAACCTATAATAACCACAGTCTAAGTAGTCTTTTTTATAATTTTAACTACCTTTTACTAACTACACATAATATTGTTATATTTAAAAATGGATAAAAATATTTCTATCTATTACCAGAATGGTCGTGGTCTTAGAACCAAACTACATACACTTTTTATGAATATACTTGCTCAATCATACGATATAATAATATTAACTGAAACGTGGCTGCATGCAGACATAACCGATAATAAATACATAGACAATGGGTATAGGGTATTCCGCGCGGATCGAGATCGAGCGGGAAGCGGTCGCCGTGATGGAGGTGGCGTGTTGATTGCGATCCAGCGCACACTGTGCTCTGCCGGCTGCGCACCCATCACTATGACCTCCTCCCCGCTCCCACCCGTTATCGACCAAATACTCATCGAATTTAAAGTTGCGAAAAGATGTCTCTTTATAGGTGCAGTTTACATTCCGCCAAAACAATGCCATGAGGTTTATCTTAGTTACTTAAATATGTTACAAAATAAGTTGCTTGACGAGAATACTAGTATAACGGATTATTTTATTGTTGGTGACTTTAATTTACCTGACTTAATTTGGATGAATAATGAATCCTATGGGCAATATCCTTGTATCATCGATCTTAACCAATCTCACATACAAATAAATAATTTTATGGCGGTATTAAATTGCTATCAATTAAGCTCCTTAATAAATGACAAAGACCGTATTTTGGATCTTTTTTTCACTAATAAAACAGACTGTGAGTTGTCACCGATATCAAATGCGTTAGTTCGTGCGGATAAACATCACCCACCTTTTTGTGTGTCGGTTGCGTATGATGCAAATCATGGATACATCCGGCTTAAACCATATCTCAACTACTGTTACAGGAACGCGGACTCTAATGAAATTATGCAAAAATTAGCGAATATTGATTGGGATGCCTTCTTTTTAAATAAAAGTGCTGAGGAAGCGGTTTTATTATTTTATGAAAAAACTTACAGTATTATTGATTTACATGTACCCAAAAGATATATTAGGTATTCTTCGTATCCTGCCTGGTTTACTCCTGAATTAATAAATCTATTTAATAAAAAAATCGATCTTGGGTTAAAATGAAAAAATATAACAATAATTCTAATTACTGTTATATTTTTTCATTTTAACCCATTCTAATTACAGTATATTTTCAATATATAGAAAAAAGTTTAAAACATTATCAGAAAAATGCTATAAAATATACATGGCGAAGGTTGAAAATAGCATAAAATATAACATTAAATACTTTTGGAAGTTCATATCTCAACGCCGTAATATTTCAGAGATCCCAAGTAGTATACAATATAAAGATTCAATTGCTCATAGTTCAAAAGAGTCTTGTGATCTATTTGGCAAGTTCTTTCAATCTGTATTTCAACGATCATCTGTATCAGATGATTTCGATATTGATGATATTTGCATACCACTTGAAAATACATCTGACTTTACTATTTATAACATCAAAGTGACTAGATTTCAGGTACGTAAAGCCCTGCAAATGTTAGATATATATATATATATATATATATATATATATATATATATATATATATGTGTGTATATATATATATATATATATATATGTGTGTGTATATATATATATATATATATATATATTTATAGGATAAGGGTGACAAACGAGCACACAGTCCACCTGATGGTAAGTGGTTGCTGCGGCCCATAGACATCTACATCTATCCTCGTTTGCGAATCAAAATGCAGATGCATTGCCACCCGTGAGGACTAAGATGGAATGCCTCATTTCCAGTAAGATAAATATATCGAAGGGCGCTGGGATAGATAACATACCAGGTGTTTTCTTCAAGGAAACTGCATCTGTAATCGATCTTCCTTTATGCTACCTTTACAATAAATGCTTATCCGATGGAATATTTCCTGATATTTGGAAAAGTGCAAGAATAGTCCCAGTTTTCAAGGATGGATCAAAAAGTGACGTTATGAATTATCGACCAATATCAGTACTGCCCATTCTTTCTAAAGTCTTTGAGCGTTTGGTGCATGATGCTATTTACCCCCTGTTGCATAATATTATCTTAGATGAACAACACGGTTTTGTCAAACGGCGATCTAC